ATAAATAATATAATAATAATATTATAAAGTATAATAATAATATAATATTATAAATAATATAATAATAATATTATAAAGTATAATAATAATATAATATTATAAATAATATAATAATAATATTATAAAGTATAATAATTTTAAAATATTATAAATTATAATATTTTTAGAAAAAATAATAATAATATAATATTATAAATAATATAATAATAATAATGATAAATTAGAATAATTATAAAATATTATAAATTATAATATTTTTAGAAAAATGTATGAGTTTGATTTGAAAAACGAAAAATAGAAATTAAAAACCGAGACTTCAGAATCCTTGGGGGAAAAAAGCTTTGGTTCGCGAGCGCGGTTCGTATGTACATATGTATATGTACCATGTGGTATACCACTCGAATCAATTCTTTCCCAATGACTTTTGTCAATCTCTTTTACCGTTCAGAAAAATTGTGACTTTGTCCAATTACTAGAAATATCTTACATTCTGTTTAAATACAAACATGTAAGTTCAAGCGATTTTTATTGTTTTTATTAGTTCTTGTTACATAATTCAAATACTACTACATACTTGTACTACTATATATTATACATATATATGCAAGTATTATGCAAGTTTTATTTTTATTGTTTTTATTAGTTCTTATTAGATAATTCAAATACTACTATATATTGCATAATTATTACATAATTCAAATGCAACTATATATTTGTACTACTATAAATTCCATAATTATTACATAATTCAAATACTACTATATATAACATAATTATTACATAATTCAAATACTATTATATACTTGTACTACTACATATTATACATATATATGCAAGTATTGTGCAAGTGTTATTTTTATTGTTTTTATTACATAATTCAAATACTACTATATATTTATACTACTATATATTACATAATTATTACATAATTCAAATACTGCTATACTTGTACTACTATATATTATACATATACATGCAAGTGTTGTGCAAATGTTATTATTAAGTTGTTAACCTTTTGCGCTGGAATGGCGTGCCACGCACGTCGAGAATTTTTTGCCCACAAATTGCAACATTTCCTCAGTTTTAAGTATATTTAAATGTAACCCAGGCAAAACAAGTGATAAGTTGGTTCTAACTTCTTAATAGTTTCTATCCAGACGAGTTCGAAAGAAAAAGACAGCGACAAATTACTGTATACGGTTCGGTCACTCGTTACGGTCCGCAAACCAGTTGCCAGCGCAACGGGGTTATGCAATAAAAGCAAGTGTTATGTCATTAATAATTATATCGTTAATATAAGTATTATTTTGTCATCAGTTGAAGCGAGAAAGACAGATATTTCCTATTATTTCTATAAAATGCGAATAATTATCGATTAATTACATTTACAGTTAATGCCGCTGTTGTTAGTAAACAAATAATTACAATATTAATGGCAATGTCAGTTGAATTTTCAGTGAAGTTGTGCAACTTTGTTCGAAAATTCAAGCGAGAATAATGTAAGATAGGATAGAAAAAAAAAAATGATCGTGTCCGCTTGCACGGAAAGGAAAGATTCTCAGTTTGAAATAAAATCAAGCGCGGCTCGTAATACTTCTCGGCGTATGAATAATAAACGTGTGCTGAATCGCATATATATACCCGCAGGCCGGTGGTACGCATGAGTCATGTTCTCTGTTTTCACGCATGGGCGTAGCGACCGGTCGATGTACCAGTGCCGACTACATTTTCAGGTTCCTTACGTTTCCGTCGCGGTTCGACGTCAAACATTTTCTTAAATGTCACGTCGTTGATATAAATCGCTACGTTTTTTTCAAATATATTTATAATTTATTATCATACACTTATAATTTATTTTCAATTTTTTCCCCAAATATAGACAAATTCTCTTTCGAGAATCGTCGTTGTTATCGCGAGTTGTTGCATTTCCCATTCCATATATAAGATTTCGATCTAGGCTAGACTAAATGGTAAATGCAAATGAAGCCATAATAATTTCATTTTGTCTATTAATATTGAATATATAATGAATAATATTAATATATTTTAAATTAATAATATTAGTATATTGGTATATATAATATTAATATATATGAAATAATAATGTTATCATAAATATTATATAAATAATAAAATAAATAATAAAATGAGTTCATCGTTTAAAATTTTTGTTCGTAATGATAAATGAGTTCAAAAAGAAAGCGACGAACTATTGTATATACGGTTTGGTCACTCGTTATGGTCCGCAATCAGTTGCCAGGGCAATCAGTTTAACTGCGTGTTTAATTTTTTTCATGAAATTGTAAATATGTCATCGTAAGTGTTGTCAATAATTGTAACAGTCACAACATCTTTTGTAAAAGTTCTATTTTCATTTGTAAAGATGTTCGAGAAAAAGGGCCTTCGTTTGAGATATTCCACATTTACTGATGTTCTACATTTATCAAAAAGGAGCTATATAATATTTTCAGAAAAAAAAAAGAATTTTTAATCATTTATCTTTCTTTATATACAAACATGACGTAAAAAGATAATATTTGCATGATGGCTTTTTACACATTAATGTAAATATTAGGTTAAATAAAGACTTTGACTAAGCATATGATTTTACTTTACAGAGCGATAATAAATAATTATTTTCTTAAAATAGCCACAATACGAAATAGAAATTAGTAAATATACGTATGCATGTTAGTGTGCTATTATTACAATTCTACGATAACTCTGCACACGAAGTAATTGAAAAATAATTAATTAATTAATATTAATTAATTAATAATAATATTAAATAATAAAAATAATATAATAATATTAATTAATTAATAACAATATTAAATAATAAAAATAATTACGCGTATCATTGGTCTGTGTAAAATAAAATATAACTTTTTGATTTTCAGTACTGAGTAACAGCAAATCGTAGCAAAAGAAATGTTTCTGTTATAAACGGCAAGTATTAATTCTATAGTAAAGTTACGGTCCAAAAGAATTAGTAAAAATTAGTAAAAAGGTAGAAAATTCCTATTGAGAGGAATGTTTATTAACAATTGAATAATTGATAATATTAATTCCGATTATTCTGATTGATATTGAAGAATTATTATAATTAAGAAATAATGTCAAATAAATTTATTACAAGTGTTATATTATATTATGCAGTATTGTGATAGATTCAAATTTCACATCGACGAAAATTTATTTACTTAACAACAGTTCCAAATTAAACACTAACTCGTGCAATGTTATAACTGTGTTACAATAACGTAACATTCGCTGCTAACTGCGGTTTCGTGTACCCACGGAAAACCTTGAAACTTATCCCCCATGGACACGGGGATTTCATTATGCTGATCAATAACGATTACTTGAGAGACATGTACATACTCGTAGAAAGTGCAATGCAAATTTGTTTAATATATAACATAACATAATATAATCATATAATAGTATAATAATGGTATAACATAATATAATAATATAATTGTATAATATATAGTATAACATAATATAATAATATAATAATAGTACCAAATGTAGAAATGTAATGTAAATTTATTGATAATGAATGACGTATGTATGTAGATATATAATAATATAATAGTATAATAATATAATAATAGCAACAAATGTAGAAATGTAACGTAAATTTATTGATAATGAATGAAGATATATAATATGTATGTAGATATATAATAATATAATAATATAATAGTATAAAATATAGTATAATATAATATAACATAATATAATAATATAATAATAGTACCAAATGTAGAAATGTAATGTAAATTTATTGATAATGAATGACGTATGTATGTAGATGTATAATAATATAATAGTATAATATATAGTATAATATAATATAACATAATATAATAATATAATAATAGTACCAAATGTAGAAATGTAATGTAAATTTATTGATAATGAATGACGTATGTAGATATATAATAATATAATAATATAATATATAGTATAATACTATTATATTATTATATTATATTATGTTATATATAATATAATATAACATAATATAATAATATAATAGTATAATAATATAATAATAGTACCAAATATAGAAATGTAATGTAAATTTATTGATAATGAATGACGTATGTATGTAGAGATATATATATTTGTATATATATGTTTGTATATTGTTCATTATCATAGATACGTATTTCTATTTTAATACAAGTATCATTGTAGAAATTATAAGGACAATGGTATAACACAATATAGGTATAACACTTGGTTTAAAAGTTACAATTAATTCTAAAACGCTGATTTTACGTATCGCATTAATAATATTGTGAAAATCATCGTTACTAATCCCTTACTGATTTACCTTAATTTTATTCTTTATTTTATTCATAACTTCACTTTAATCCGAAACTTTCACATCTCATGTTATATCTTTAATTTCAATTGAAAATTTTTTATCATCCACTGTCTTTGTTACAAGACATTTCACGTTGTACTATTTTGACAGAAATTTCAACTTTGTACCCATCACTTTAATCCAAAACTTTCATCTCGCGTTATATCTTTAATTTCAATTGAAAATTTTTTTATCATCCACTGTCTTTCTTGCAAGACACGTGTCGTTTTGACAAAAACTGTACAATATTTATACATATGTATATACTCAATTACTTTATGAAAAATCCAATGATAATAATAATGCTGATGATAAATGTGATAAATTCTGTTCTTATAACGAGGATAATAACAATACGTGACGATAACGGCGAGTAGTCACCAGGTTACCATCACTTATCCATGTTAAAAGTCGCAGAAAATTAATCCATTTATTCCCGGAACGGTTCAATAATCCGTTTCGGTCAATTGTTACGTTTTATTGATCAATATGTGGTACGTACGCGGTCATACGTGAGCGCGAAGGAGGAGGAGGAGGAGAGCCATCGAGAAAAAGAGGAAAAGAAACGGAAAGATGTTTGCGCTATGAATAAAGGAAAACACGGGAGTTGGCAACGCTACGTACGTACGCCGCTTTATCAGTAGATAATACGATACATCGAATATTGGGTTTAGGCGTTTCTACGTTCAGTTCCGTGGTGCACCTGCGTGAAAGAGGATTCTCGGACACCAAAATGGCTGCCACACACCTCGACGTTGGTCTACGTTGCATCAAGTACCTGCTTTGCGCGGTTAACTCCCTTTTCGTGGTCTGTAGCCACATTCTTTAATCTCGTTTCTGTTTCAGCGATCATTACGTCGCGTTCGCCAGATACATACATACATACATACATATATACTGTGCAAAGCCAATTTCTAACAATTCGTGACATGAAACAGACACGCTCATCCAATTGTATTATACGAAAAACGCGTTCGATCGAACAGAACAAGGAACGAAGTCGTTTCATTTCCATTTCGAAATCGTCGATTCGACAAATTCCTCTTTCGTTCTCTCGCTGACTTTTCTGTTCTAAATGTTCTAATTCGCTACTTGACGTTTCCCGACTTTCCAAATCCAGATTCGATCGAGTAGCACGGTCCAATGCTAATTAACATTCCCTCCGATTGTCCGCGTCGTAGCAAATAGGTATAGGCGCGTCGACGCGCGTTTAAACTGCCGAAAAGGTAATGAGAAACGAACGGGTTTGACCACGTTGCCCTTGGCAACTGATTGCGGACCGTAACGAACGGCCAAACACGTACACAATAATTCGTCGCTTTCATTTTGAACTCGTGCACACTGGATCGAAATTTATTATTTGTTTTGCCCCGGATTGTACGTAAATATATACTCAAAACCGAGTAACCTTGCAATACCATTGGGACAACGAGTTCTCGACGTGTCATTCGAGCGCAACAAGTTAATTTTAAGTTTCATTTTCCGCGTACGTGTCTGCGTTTATTTTTTTTTTTTTCCTCGACGAGTCGAGTTTCGAACGAACACGCTATTGCGCTGTTGCGCAACGTACAGTTCAATATGGTACAGTCAGTCGCGTTTCTTATCTGTCTTCGCGAAAAAAAAGAAAAAGAAGAAGAAAAAAGAAAGAAAGAGTAAATAAAACGGCGAAACTTCGAGACTGCGAACGATAAAAAAAAAATTTGTCACACGTGTGTCGTACGACGTGGAAGCTCGAACAGTCGAACACGTAGAAAGTAAAGATCAAACGAAAGCAATATGTAACACGTTAACGGAATCACGGGGTAGAAAAAAAGAAAAAAAAAAAGAAAAAGAACGGGAACAATAAACGGGGTCGAGGTTGGCTACGACGACGAGTCGATTTTTCCCTCGTTTCCTCCGAGGAGAAAAAGTAACGAGAATAACCGTGCTCGGCCGTGAGATTCAACAAGTTAGGTCGACCCTCGGGGTATGGACACGGTGGATCATAGTTCTACTCTGTCGTACTTCGGACGTACGTAGTCACAGTGGCGGGGGGAGGAGGAGGGGAGGAGGAGGAGGAGGAGGATCGATATCGGCTGGGTGAGGTCGACCCCGATGAATTATTACAACGCCGCCGAGCTATCAATGTTCCTTGCCCCCTTCTTTTTTCTTTCGCCGTTTTCTTACTACATTCGATAAAACTCCGCCACGCCGACTGATCGATAAATTTAGAAATTTAGCAATCACAATGCTGTGGAAATTGCACCTGCGAATGAAATTCTGCGCTGGTTCGCTGATCTAATTTTATTATAAATATGTTCAATATATATTATACATATATTTAGGTATAATATTATACATATATCAACGTACATTGTATACATATTTAGGTATAATATTATACATATATCAATATACATTGTACACATATTTAGGTATAATATTATACATATATCAACATACATTGTACATATATTTATGTATAAGTAAATTTATATTATTATATATATAATTTTATTATTATATTATATATATAACTTTGTATATAAAAATTCATAATCTCCAGATCTTTAGATAATGTCTTCTAGTTTTCTAGTTTTATTATCAGTAATATCAATATTATCAATTTTACATTATCCATTAGATAATGACTTCTACTCTTCTAGTTTTCATAGTTCTTTAGATCTTTAGGTAATGTTTATACGATGTACATTAATCGAGACAATACAAATATTGTCCAAAAGGCACGAAGATACAATTAATTGAATATTTTGACAAGAAATATTTATAGAGAGGTCGAATAGATCGAATAAAATACAATAGTTTATGTCTTTTCTTGAGAATGAAGAATTATTCAATCTGACGTCAAACCACAAAAAAATTGCTACTGAAACATGTAACGAAATAATAAGTTTTTCATTGCCACGATAGGACAAGTTAAAGTAGATTTATTGTAACGTGAAGTGAATTGAAATTTTCTGCGGCCGACATCAGACTTGAAAATGTCTTGTAGACGTAAATGATTTTGTCTTATCAGTTCAAATATGTTCGTAATCTCGTTGGCAATGATAAGAGAATTTTATTTCTTTTCTCTTCATAAAGTCTTGCATTCAGCAAAAAAAAAAAAAAAATAAAATAAAATAAAAAATATTAGCTTTTTCAGTGACGTGAGTTCGACAACCTTTCTGTTTAAAGGAATTAATAAATATTTCTTTAGGTATAACTGTGATAGCGATATTGATAGTTACGTTTCGCATCTTTTGTGAAATCTAATCTACTGTTAATTCGTTGAGTTTCTAAAACACAATTGGTCTCGCAGAAGTCCCTCATTTAGAAAAAAATTATTACGTACAAATTTCTCAGATATGATAACAACCCAGATACGATAATTTTATCTTTATGTATTTGTTTAATCGTTGTACAAAATCTACAATAACAACATCAATTTTCGATGCCCCTTTTTTCTTTTGTTCCATGTGAAATTGAAATTTTTACAAAGAACGCAGATGTAGATACATACAATAGAATTAACTCTGATTCATTCGTTTAATTAAAAATAATATTTCTGTTACATTTCTGTTACATACATCGACTATTAATATTTACACGGTTCATGATATTATAGAGTATTATTGCTAGCATATTATATATTAAAATACTCATTGATGATACGGAAAGTGTTAAATTGTTTTTTTAAATTGAATTATTAGAACACAATTTTTTTGTTCATACTATAGATATTATAGATATTAGAAGAAGATATAAAATTTTAGCATAATTTTATTTTTGTTAAAAAATTATTCTAATAATACCTTGCAAGGGAAATGTATTTTTGAAATGAACTGCAAAAGTTGTAGATTCAAATGTTCATCTTTGTGATTAATTTACGATTAAATACAAATGTGTATTGTTAAGAAGAGGAAACTGAAATTTATATTTGTTTCGTTAGATTTTGCAAGCATAATAATTTTAATATTTTATATTCATTGATGTGCGAATAATGAATGTTCGTGGAAACATAAATTTTTCACATAAGTGAAAGATATGTTTTATCCAAAACACAAATCTGATTATAACTGATTATAACTGAAGTCAAAACGAGTTATTGTTTTAAATAATTCTATATTTAATAGAAGTCTAAAAAGCTTAAATATATAAAGTTGATGCTACTGTTATTATTTACAATAATTTTATCACTGACTACATTAATAATAATTTATGAAATATATAAATGCCATGTATTTGCTTGATATTATACGAGGATTAATTAAGAATTTTACATTTAATTTCATTTATATAATAATACATTAATTAACAATTTGATAAAGCATTTAATTATGTTTGCTTTAATAATCCTGTATATATATATTTATTAACTTCAATTCTTCTTCAGTCTTAATTTATGAATTCTACATTTTCTCATAAAATTACAGTTTAAGTTATTTGTTTATAGTTGACAGGAATAATGATAATATCTGTGGGAACAACAATTTATGCTGTCTACGAGGATTTCTCCCATTTTTTGGATCCTAGTTATTTTTCTCCAGCAACTCTCTTAATTGTTGTTGGAATATTCGTGTTTGTAATAGCTTTTCTGGGTTGTTGCGGAGCTCTTAGGGAGAGCACCTGCATGGTTCTTGTGGTGAGTATTGCATTTTACTGTTTCTGCGTTGCATTAAGAAAAATTAGAAAAGTTATATTTTTCGCTTTAATTGTTAACTTTAATATCTCTATATTTCATACATTTTGTCTTCACTGAAACAATTTCGTCATTCTTCAATTCATTTAAATATTAATTCTTTTATAATTTGTTTATCTTTAATATAATGTTTAGGAAATAATAAAAATATAATGCAATTATAGTTTGCAGTGTCACTTTCAGTAGTACTTGTATTGGAATTAGCTGCAGCGATCGCAGCTTATGCTCTTCAGGACGGAATAAAAAGTCTCCTTGCTGATAAAATTAATGCTACCATGCATCAATACCCAACTCATAATGAAGCTAAGGCTGCCATTGATTTCCTACAATCAAAAGTAAATATTTCAATATTTTCAAATATTATAATATTTTATATATGTGTAAAAATAAGTAGTTTATATATACATATAAAATAAGAGATATTCAGTTATATACGTATTACATATATACAAACAGATATTTTTTATTTCTCTCTGTATAAGCAGAGATTAAATAGATATTATGGTATTTTGGTAAAATTTTAAAGACAATGTTTAAGAAAAAAGCGTGAAATATAAAAAAAACTTTTTAGACTAATTATTTTCTAACTGTTTCATTTTTAATATTTATTTGTCATTACTTTTAGTATTGTTATTTATCAGAATTTTTAAATACATCTTACATAATGGAATATATTATTTACTAGCTTTATTGCTGTGGATACGACGGATACGAAGATTGGAAGGATATAGGGATAAAAATTCCTACATCTTGTCTACCAATGGGAGATACTAACATAACGTGTACTGAGTATGATAGCTTTGCATGTCATCCTTACAAACCTGGATGTATTAAGCACCTTGCGATTATTATTCATAGAAGTGCACTGTATATTGGTACGGGAGCGATAGCTATTGCTCTCATTCAGGTTAGTATTCATTATATTTATTTCCAGCTTACATCTACCTAGTTTATATAATTTAAAATAAATTTTATTATAGTTTGATACTGTAAATAAGTTAACGTAAATAAATGAAAAAGTAATTTTTTAATTTTAATCAAGCACTTCATATATTTTGGTAAATTGAATTGTTTATTTCTTATTTTTCAGTTAACTGGAATAATGTTCGCCTGTATGTTAGGCCGAGCAATCAGAAGACAAAAAACAGAAAGGGAGAGACGTAGATGGGAATTAAGAGAAAGTTTAGTCAATGGTTATCAACCATTGGGAAAGTCAGATCCTTTTACCACTTTCCCTGTTTACATGTCCTCTGAACCTCTGAAGAATTCTTAAAACTTTTTATTCTTATTACGCATTCGCAATGAAATAGTTTTATTTATATCAAAATATCTTTATAGTTTTATTTATGTCAAAATATCTTTCAAATTTTGGAAGTTCTACTATAAAAACTGAGATATTCCAAATTATTATTTCTTCTCTCTTTTCCTAAGTTCTTTAGAAATTTTTAATTACTTTTTTACGTGAATTCCCAATATTAAGAATTCTAATTTCATTTATATTGTGATTGTATAAAAACATAGCTGTATATATATATAAAGATTTAATATATTTCCGTAATATATAATTAAATGTATAAATACATCGTACAAACTTAACATTACATACTTTACTGGAATAAATTGTTTTCAAAGTTCAGTCACATTTCATTGAAAGACTGAAGCTCTCTTTAGAAGTTCTTCAATTACTTGATTATTTGCTGAGCTATATAAATATGGAGGAGTTAATTCACGATAAGCTAAACAAATTCGTCTAGAAGTTACATCTTCTCTTAAAACGCAATGCTCCCATTTGTACCTACAAAAACATACAAAAGAGTTTAGCGTTTATGTAAATAATGCAATAAAATTCATATTCATTGTATTTTATTTTCTCAATTTCATAAAACATTTTCTTAAGTTGTACCTGATATGTTAATTAAATAGTTATATAAATCTTTGATAAAATATAGATTTAATAATCATATACAACAGACTTCTAATTAAAATGACTATTTTACATAATATTATACAAATAAATTTCTTGAATTACTGAAATATGCTACAAATTATTTAGATATTAAAAATAACTATATAATGTAAAAAGATTTATTTACCTTGCGTTGCCATAAAGAACCATAAGAGACCCTTCAGGCATTGGCAGCCTCACAATGATATCTTCATTTTTTTCATTTTTATTGTTTGTATCAAACTTAAAGTCTTTAAGTATTGCGGAATATTCCATGACACTTTCTAAATTGTACTTTGCATATGGACCACGATATGGGCTCATTGTTAAAACTGAGTTACCCATGACATTAACAGTAACTATTCTTTCACCCCAAATCCAGCAGTCATCAATATGCGGATCTATGGAAGCTCCTCGTAGTGGGTCATATTCCAAAGTACATTGCTCTACTGTTTGGAAATTATTAAGTATGGGTATCTCAGAAAACTTTTGTTGCACAAACTGAGTAGACTTTGGAAAACCACTAAAGGCACCCAGCTGAAGTTTCTTCTTCTTAAAGTTACATTTTGGTCCAAAATTCTAAATTTTTAAAATTATTTCTCAAATCATTTAATCTTTTTAACTAATGAATTTTGTTAATTTTAAAAGTAATAAATTTGCTTATTTTGTTTAAAATACCTGTTTCCTCCTTCCACTTTGAGAAACATCCCAAGGTATTTCCTCAAGTGCATTTTTCAGTGACTTAATTTCACACGGACTTAGAAAATCCAGCTTTTTACAGAAAGTTAAAATCAATTTTTTATAAATATACATAAAACAGATAATAGAATTATTTTAGCAATGCTACTACTCTTTACCATATCTTTTTCATATTACATACTTTCTGATAATTATTCGTGTTTTGTAATTTATTACATTGCTAAGTATAAACCAGTTTAAAAAGTAAAATTGATTCAAAATATTACTGTAAGAAATTAATTACCTTTATATAAACACCAGGAAATTCTGTACTAGTGCCTTTGTGATTTGGATGATTTTTATAGAGATTAATATCCCAACCGGGCCATGCTTTGTCACAGTTTGGACAATATACATAACTGGAACATTTCTAAAATATTACAGACCTTGACAAATAATATAATTTAAAATGTTATAATATGTATAATTGCTTTAAGAAAATTATTTACTCCAATAAAAAAACTACATTTCATCCATGAAATAATAAGTACATTATAATATATATATATATATATATATATATATATATATATATATATATATATATATATATATATATGAAGTTATGATGTTATATGAATATACTATGTTAAAAACTATATGTTACTGCTAAATAATTATTTATTTCTTTTTGTTCTATAAAAAATTAATAATTTTCTGTATTCTATATTATAATATTCTGTAGATTTTATTAATTCATAAATTATCATTCCATTTCAAAAATGACAAATCAATTTAAATTGTTATTGGTATAATATTTTTGAAAGAGAAAGTTTTTAAATATGAAAAAGAATTATTAAATATCAACAGATAGAAAAGAGTAAATTTACACAGAATTAACAATTTTCTATATTTTTCTACATTCTATATTTGTAGATTTTATTAATTCATTAATTGTCAAGTCGTTTCAAAAATAACAAAAAGCAATTGAAACTATTATTGGTGTAATATTTTTAAAAGAAATATAAAGAGAACAATGTTTTTGAATACCAAAAAATACCAAATTAACACCAAAAGAAAAGAATAATTATAAAATTTAAATTTGTATATATATAGAAAAATATTATATACAATATATATTAGAAATAACAGAAAATTGATATGCTTAATCTTCACGTTTGATGTTTTAATTGATTGATACATTAAAGAAAAAGTAAATAATTTAAACTTCTTATAAAAATATTCGAAATCAATATTAATAAATAAACTAATAAATTAATAAATAAACTGACTGTCCAAGTTTAATATGACAAGTTTTATTTGTAAAATATTTTTTAAACCTAACCTCAAAACGAGTCTTAAGGTTGTCTTTTACAATCTTATATTCGGTCTCACAGAAAAGGCAAGATCTTATTCCTTTACAACCGCAAGGTCGTACTGTTTCCATTTTCTTCAGCAAATAATTAACGATTTGAAAATTATTACTTATTTCGTACACTAGATAGATGGTATATATAAGGAGTTAAAAACTCAAAAATGGTTTAAAGGTTATCGAAATTTAATACGAATTATTGAAATCAATATGACAATTGTATACATTGCATTAATTACATTGTGGTAATTCGTTATTTTAATTTCGATTCCATTTTTAAGGAATCCTTAAGTCATAAAAGTATAAGAATCGCATGTATGCATATGTGCATGTGGTACATGCATAAAAATATATAATATTAATAATATTCTTTGAATCATTTATCTCCTATTTACACTTCTAATTACACTAAGAAGAAAATGTGAAAAATTGTATTAAAGAAATCTGAAACATATCAAATTCTACGTTGTAAAAGTCTTTACTTTTAATTTCGCTCAAAATATATTATGTAGAATGTATATTAATTTTCCAATTTCTTACTTACTTCACAAGTAAATAAAACTTAAAGAAACAAATCAGTTTTAGGATAGCAAATTCTTTTTAGGATCAAATTAATTTTAGAATAGCATTCTCTGAGAGATATTAGAATTAAGCATTATGATGTAATTAAATTTTTTATAAAATTAAAAAAGACATTGTAAATAAACTAAAAGTAAATCTTGAGTGTCTTGTTATTTCACACATAATTCTATTATATAATATTATTATTTTGGCACTAATCTTTTAATAATTACCAGCAATTTTTTTAACAATTATTATAATATTAATAATCATTAAATTAGTATTTTAATTATATGTTAGTTTTTTATTTAGTTTGTCATTTATAATGTTTTATAAGTAAAAAAGAAATATTTCAAGAATGTAATTGATTACAAGAGATTGAAGGAATAGCAAGACATTTTTAAGACCTTTTTTTCAATTTAATTTATTAATCTGTATTCCTCTATGTACAAGACTGCGCCTGCTAAATAATCCTTTCTATGATACAAGATAAGAGTCCATTTACTAATAAAATTACGTCTCACCCGCCAAACTCACTCAATACATTGCAATCAATTTTAATAGATTAGAAAAAAGGGACAAAACGAAAAAAAACTCGAATCACTATTTACAAAAGTAATTGATCAATTATGAATCGACTGATTATTGGTTTTAATTCATCCGAAGAAGGAAAGAGAAATTATATATTTAATCACTTAAATTCAATTTTAAGATTATCAAATATCCTCTTCTCGTTTTCAATTATCACATTGTACTGTTTCCAATACAATGATTAAGCAATTATTAATTCATTGATCATTATTTACAAGTAATCATCGTTGAATTAACGAAGAATTAAAGGAGTATAAAGGTTTTTCGTAGTTATTTTCTTATCAGAATTCATCAATAATCAATCGATAGATGTGGAACGATTAATTAATTAATCTAACTGTACTAACTGTAAGGTCTTTTTATTAAAGACCAACAATAGTGACACAATTAATCAATTAATCTTAATTACAGTTGATCAATTAATAAGACAAATTTCTTAAGCTAATTAAAAAAAATCGATATAATTTAAAGCACCTAAAAAATGTTGTTTTTAAAAATTGTGCTCCGACTTAGAAAATTCACTGCGACTTTTTACTTCGTTCGTTAAAATAATTAGTGTGATCGTACAATTGCCTGTCACAACTTGTATCATTTTGTCATAAATCAATTCAATTTTTATCATGTTTACTATATGTGAAGTCATTTATATGCTTTTACGTGCATTATTGACATTGCTTTTTTTTTGGTAACTTTTTTTTTTCTTTTTTTTTTTCTTTTGGACACTTTGGCATAGAAGGTAAATAAACGCAAAATAAAGTAGCGTAACTTCAGCGAAGCAATTAAAAATTATGTTGAATTGAAATTGCTTCGCTGAAGTCAAATCTTTACAATACTAAAAATGATAATTTCACATTAAAAAAAAAAGTTTCTTTCGTCTACCTCAACGGTAACAAGAAATGTCATTACTGATAAAAATCGTAGAGTAATGTAACATTTCATATTACTTGATTGCAACGTTCTAAGTCATTTTTAAGTATCTGCTACTACCTTGCATTATTCTCTATACAACGCAAATTAATTCACATAATATATTTCTCTAATACCCATTCGTTTTTTTAATATATGTATAAATCAACAATTTCAAATTATTCTTTTTGTATGGATCTCTAAATTGATAATTATTTACCAATGAACGTCAAAAATAATCATTTGTAAATTTTCATTCCGTTTTTGTTATATAATTCTACATAACATTTTTCTGTTTCACATATGAATTAACTATGTACAACAAATTATTTAAAAAATAGCTGCTTCATAAAATTAAAATACAGAAGTCATCGATTATTTTTATTATTAGAAAATGTCGGAGCGTTAATAAAACGATCATTTAAACATCATTTAAATATTTTTTAATTAAATATTGTACAATTGAACATAATACTGTAATTTTAGGAATATTTTAGATTGCTTTTCATGTAACATTTTTATATGCAAACATTTAAAAGATTTTGTTCAATTTTACACTTACACTTTAGATATTTCATATATTTCTGAATGTTCATGCAAATAAAGAATTTAGTATTAAAAATGAAACTTAAATAGAAAAGCAACAAAAGTGAGAAAAAAATAGCTATTGTAGGAATGTTAAGTTAATATTAAATAGTACTGGATCATTCATATGATATTTCATAGTTAATATTTCAAAGAAACAATAAATAAATAGATATCAATATTCAGCAATAAAAATATTATTATGAATAAAGAAAGTAAAATTAATTAACATCAGACTTTCAAGTTTGATACAAAATATTATATTTGCATTATGGAAATGTACATATAATATTTTGTTCTTTATAAAATAGTGCCATAAAGTAAAAGTATTTATTTACAATTTTATAAGCATAATGTTACGTAAAACTTCTTATATGATATTCATTTCATTATTTATTTAATAGATCGAAAGTCAAATTTTTTATTCTTTTTAATTACATGTTAGATAAAATAGAGAAATTATGTAAAAACTTAATTTATAATCTTTGTTGACATATTTTGTAAAGCAAACTTAGTATAGATGAAAGGAACTAATTATTCATTTTATCATCGCTCCGACAATTGTCTATTACGTTTCGTTAAAAACTCATCTGATCTTTTCTTTACAATTTACTCAAGTACTCAGCAAACAATGCTGCTCTCAAAGTAATCCACCTTTTCGTCCAAATAAAAGCGAGCTAATAGTACCCAAAGCGGATTGCGCTGGAGACTCTTTTGTAACTGCAACAGAGACTGCAGGTGTAACCTGTCCAAGATCACGTCTCATAGCTCTAGCACCACTTCTTCTTTGTCTACACTCCCTGTTTGACATCGATTCATCTTGCTTTTTGTCAGTTATGTTTCGTTTTGTTATTGAGGAATCACTAGCAGTGGAAGAAGGTGAAAGTTTGTCTTGACTTCCACTCATGGAGCTTTTCAGGAAAGTTAACTGAGCCATAGGGCTTTCGGTAGTACGTTTCGTATATAAAGAACCTTGTAACACTAATGGAGAAATAGATGAACCAATCGTTGTAGCCATTATAGTATCAATACCTATTCTTTCAAGTTTCTCAACTAGACGGATACTGGTAAGAGCTTTCTTGTCTGACCTGGATAATACTGGTCGTTTTCTCTTTGTCTGTTAACAAATACAAAGAACATTAAAGATAAATCAAATTTATAAAATAATGTATGCAAAAAACCAAGACAATAACTATAACTATTAGAAAATTTAATTAGATTTTTCATTTATAATTTTAAAGGAAGTTTTCATTCTTTAAACATACATATCGCATAAACAATATGTTGTTAATGTTTTACAATGCTTTATCTTTCCTTTGTTAAATTTCATCAAAATTTAAAAATAGCAATTAATTGTATTTTATAAAATTTCTATTTTTTAGGTATTATTATATATTATAATATGACATTTTGTTACTTCATTACCAAATTATATTTAATATAATTATGATTATTTTATAAATGTTTTTACATACCTCAGTTTCTCCGCCGAATGTTCTTTTTAATAATTCAGCACCAGTGGATAATAATCCTAAAGAAAGTCCACTTTCTGGAGTTGGTGAACTAGATCGACTTTCCGGGGGACTAGCATCAGGACTGTTACAAGGTGTTGCTGTAGGTGTATAATTCCTATCTTCACTCGGAGTTAACGAAGAAGAAGGCGTTACAGCTTTAATACCTGTTTGAATATATTAATTAAATTACATTTAAATTCGTTTATAATTTAATTTAAATTAGATTCGTTTACTAAGAACTTTTTCTAATAATTGAATTAGATTCTAATGAAAAACATAGTACTATTTATTATTGCTAATAAATGATAAATTAGATAGAATATTTTCAATGTCGAAAAGGTACCTCTCTCGTTTAACATCTTTGCAAGTCCGAGGGTTGTTGAAAATGTTGACGTCGAATTCCTTCTGCTCAACGTTCTTGGAGTACTCATACCAGAATTTAAAGCACTACTAGGTGCCGTTGCGACTCGGCTACCAACAACGCTTGGTGTAACACTTGTGTGATCATCAGGATGTAGAACGGTACTATTGGTGAACGTATATACGGAACCCGTATCTTGAAAAAGTTTGCCGGGATTGGTGTACTCTTCATCTTCTTCAAGATCGCTTAAAGTAAAAGTAACTAGGCCTAAATCCTCCAGGCCTCGACCTCCTCGTGTTTTTACTCCTGGCCGTTCTTCTAAAAGACCACCTAAAAAATAAAATAATCTGATTATAAAAAAATATTTTTATATTCACATTCCGTAGCTGTTTTATTTTCCAATAAAGTTCTCGAGATGACAGCGTGATAAATAAGACATTTATTTGATGTAGCTAAGGTAAATACGATATTTTTCATCGTACTTTTGCAAGAGGACATGCAATTAAAATATCAAGTTCAATAAAACAGAATTATTTTTAAGTAATTTTAACCCTTTGCACTCGAGGCCTTTTTCGCGCGGCGAATCAGCAACTCGAGACGTTTCACAGCATTTTTGACGAATTTCTTACCCCTAACTTAAAATTATTACATACACAAATTAATGTACAAAACTTTTATATTTTAACATTTTATATATCTTTATACCTTTATGAAGATAATTTCTTAAATATTAGTCTATGTAATTTTGCTGTGTATGATATTTCATATAACAATTGCCAACATGCATGCCCGGCTTGACGGGTCAAGTATTACAGTGATATGTTGTATCTTTTGCCGGGTTTATTTCTTTGAGAACAGACTTTGCAATCCTTCCTAATTCCTGTTAGAATATTATGCAGCTTTCCATTCAAGCAGATGTCTTCGGAATCGGAGGTTAAAGATCGAGGCTCGATCACGTGGCTGGTGAAAATCTTAAGTCAGTTGGTGAACTAAAGTTTTCACATACCGCAAGTGATTAAACGGCTGTTCTCTTCTCTGCTGTTTAGTGGTTTTATATAGAATATATGAATTTATTGAACAAATTTCTAAACCTCAAAAAACAGTTTACACTACCATGATTTTCTTACAATCAACGATTTTCTTAAAAAACAGTACGTTGAGGTATACTGATCTGCACGATCGACACCGCCCATATGTTTTATATAATTTATTACTACAGTAGGCTTTTTGACGGTAACTTCAATTCCACCTCATAAAATTCGTTTTATAGGAGTCATTCCTGCATTGTTCCAGTTGGTCAAGTATGTGACAACCCTCTTGTCCTTCCATGCTAAAACTAATGTATTTCTTTTGCGGTATGCTACTGTCGATTTCTTGCGGAATTTTGTTTTTTTTATTTGTTCTGGTATATGCTTTCTATTTGTTAAGATAGTTCCTGTTCAGCTGGCATTTCAATTTCAATAATTCTTCAGCCAAGATAAAGCTCGTATAATAACGATCGGTGTCCTTGAGCACAAGGTATTTTCTCCAGCAGCACTGCATAAAGGTGGAACGGTATTCTCGTTGATACCGGAAGGTCGGACCTTATCAACTTCTCCGTTGTCAAACTTCCATAATAAAGAAGAATGCCACAGATGTAGCCAGTATTTGAGTCTGTCATCGTATAAACTCTAATACCTCATTTGGTTGGTTTCTTCGGGTTGTAAGGAAATCCGACCTTTGAACTTGATAGTAGATTCATCCGCACAAATTTCTCTTTCCGGTGTAAAATACTTCAAAAATTTCGAATTTATATAATCAAGGAAGCAGCCTACTAGCTGTAAGCGTGTTCGTGGACCTGCATCTTGTGTTGGGATTGTCTTTAGATAAAGCATCCAAAAAATCTGGTTGAATCTATCTCTCGTAAACTTGTTTGAATAAAAAAGGCATGTAACTGACATCATTCCGTGACCAGTACTCTTGTAAAGTTGCCAACGGCATTGTCCCCATATTTATTATAACACCAATAAATGCCCACATTTCTTCGATAGTTACATTGTGCCAAGTTCGCCATATCGAGTACGGTGATAATGTCTTTCCTTCTAACTTTTTTCTAGCATAACTGTTTCATTTTTTCAATAACTGTTTCATTCACGAACTGAGTTCATTAATAAAAAACAGTTTGAAAAAATCCAATGGTTCTTTCTTATCTGGGTGTACGTGCGGTCCTGCAAGAGTGTCGCCGGCTATGAACGGTATTTTTGAAGGTATTTCTTCAGATTCAGTACAACTAATCCATTCAGAACTGTCTGATTGTGAGTCTTCTGTAGTATCAATATCGCTGTCACATTCATTGTCTATTACTCTGATCTTTCGCCTTCTTACTTCGTCACTATCATCAGCACTGCTGTTATTCTCTGTATCGTCAAGCTCTCTGTGTATAGATGTAATTTCCTCGTTAAGCAACGTTAAATCAAACTCATCTTCACTTGAGCTTATTTCATTACTACGTTCCATGCTTACAGGGATCAAAAACTTTAACTTTAGTAGTCCTGTCACGACTGTCAAGTTCGAACTAATGCCGAAAATGCAGTCCGGTTCGTGGTTGCGGACTAATTTCAGATAAGAAAATCTTATCTCCATTTGAAGGGGTGTCATTTTACACTTCATAAGATTATACAGAAAGAGCGTAGGAATCCGTTTCAAAGAAACTAAACGTAAACAGTCATTGCCGCGCATCGAGTTTCCGCATCAAACCAAGTGGGCGAGAGTCACCTCTTGAGTTGCGGCATCAAATCATATGGTGAATGAGAGTCATAGGGTTAATACAGAATTATAGAATGTTACCTAACGTAGGGTTAATACAGAATTATAGAATATTACCTAACGTAGGTGTAGCTAATTGAGTCCAATGATGTAAAGTTTGTGAACCTTCGAGAGGTTTCACTATCTGTAATTTTTCAGGAATTCTCCAAGAATTGCTACCATAACCACTTAAATTCCCAGTGCTTCCTGTAGACATAATACTGTCTGGAGTTCTACAACCAATAGGTACGAAAGTAGATGGTGAACGGGTTCCGGCATCATAATCATAGCTATATCCTGTCCCGCTACTGAGACAAGCGCGCCTTGTAAGAACTTCTGCAGGTGTCAATCTACGTAGTGCTGCTTCTAAATCTGCTGCACCAGGAGCACCTGGCACTCCTGTTTGCTGTGGTCCTCTGAAGATGTTAAAAAGTAATCATTGATTTAGTAATTGTGAGTTAGTATTTAAAGAAATACTACTAAACAAAATTTCAGACTTCTTTCACGTACGAATGAAAATGTTAAACTTACGGATAATCTTCAGAATCTGTAATAAGCGAGCCTTCTGAATCACTGTGCCCAGTGGAATCCAAACTAGGAAATATTGATTTTATAGGTCGAACTTGTCCACAACTCATTCGCGGTCCGGTAAAACCACTTGACAGAGTTGACACTGTCATTGAACCTATTCGTGGGAACTGACTTGCATCTGGACAAGATGCATTTCTTGACACATTCCTCACTGTTTCAAAAACTTTCTTATACGTTGGTCTGTATCAAAAATGAAATTAATGAAAATTTTGAATAATGAATCATAGCAAAGTAAAAAATATTAATGAGAAATAAAACACAGAACGTACATTCTATCTGCACTGATACCAGAGTCTAAACTGAGTTCAGAATAAAGTGACGATTCCAATTCTGAAGCAATGGAATCTGGTTGTGGAACAGCGCCCATTGAAGGGAACAAAGATCCTCCTCTAACAGTTGGCATCCCTTTTTTCCTTTGTTTTCGTAATTGTTCCTGAGTTTCAGCTAACAAATTCACCACCTTACAGTAAAAAATATTTTTAGATTATTTAATCATTATTGCTTAAATAATCTTAAAAAAGGGCTTTAGATTTAGCTAATCTGAATGTATTGCTTAATCTTATCCTTCAATCCATTAAAAACCAAGCAATAACTTATCGTACTGAAATTTCTTCTCTTTCAATATTATAATTAACACGTTGACTGCCACGCAAAATTTACACATTCTGAGAATGAGAATGAGAAATATTTAATTTCTTTAATCTATCATATTGCAATAAAGTACAACGAAAGCGTATTTATAATTTTATAATATTATCTAGTTGTTTATATTATTTAAAATTGGTTCTTAATGACATTCATCTTATTTTAATAGCCACTAATGATCGTCGTAGCAATCAATGTGTCAATATAATTGAAAACCATTGCAAAGCAGAAATGTTGGATTAAAGCAATATTGGTCCTTCATGGATTTTCTAAAAAGAAAGTCAGTGAACGACAATTTGACAATCTAATTTCATCTGTGAACATACCTCGGCATATCGATCTTTGAATTCAGCTAATTCGTTTGCCAGAGTATTCTGGTTGTCTCTGGTGATGAGCAAAGTAGCTCCCACTTCATCATGTTCGGCCATCAACTGTGCTAATCTCAATTCTGTTTCAGCTAGTTTTGCCGTTAAACTGACAATTTGCTCATGTTGCAATCGATTTTCTTCTTTCTGTTTATCAAGCTCCTCGGTTATTCCATCTACCTCCATGTTTGCACTTGCTGCACAAAAAAAATGATTTATTTATTAATCAAATTTGGAATTTCAATTAGTATCAACTTTTAAACATTCTTTCTCTTTTTTATTAATTTTTATCTAGAACAATTCAATGACTAACCGAGTTGAGCAGCAATGTCTTTGACAAGTTTCGCCTCCTGTTCCTCCGAATTATCAGCGTCATGCATCAATTTTACAAATTCAGTTCTTAATTGTTTATTTTCATCCTCGAGAGAGCTGATTTTCTTTTGCATTATGTCAAGACTGATACCGCGAAGTCCGGTGGGCGTACCGGCTTCGGAGTTCGATTCTTCGGCATCATTTGTTAATATCTGAATTAATTCTGTCTTCTTTGCGAGTTCGTGCGTGAGTTGCGTAATTTTTTCATTGGCTTCTTTTACATCGGCCTCTAAACTGGTAACTGTGGCTTCGAGTTTTTGATTGTGCGATAAAAGTTCTTTGCCGATACGCGCGGTTAATTCTAAATCCTTTTCTTTCTGCAAGTCAATAAACCATTTAACGTTTAAGACACAAAAGGTAATCGATAATTTGTAAAATTATTTTTTTCTTCTCACGTACGAACAGATTTTGTGCAAGTACATGACAATAGACGTGCGAGATTATTTCGAAAGTTGAGAACTCGAGCTTGAAAATTCAAGAAGTTTTAAATATAAGAATTCAAGAGGAATCTCCTTTTTTTAAATATTTCTAATTGAAATATTCTATTTAGCACTTTTCTCGTTACGTTAGAGTGATCGATATTCTTTACTTTTCAACCAAAGATATATGTTAAATCATACATGTTAAGGTGATATAAAAAAAAAAAAATGATAAAATTTAAATTTCATTCTGTTTTTAGCGCACTGCTTCTGATATAATAAGTGAAAAGTTTTGATTTCAAATCGATTTGGCAATGATTGGACGTAATTGATTCAAGAATACTGAAATCTATTAATGGTTTAAGAGTAATAAAATGATGAGGGATAAATAGAAAATAATTATTTCTTTATCGTTCAGATTTCTTACATCTGTGATATCAAGTACAAAGGACATATATTTAATGATATTTAACCACTTGCGCTGGTAACTGATTGCGGACCATAACGAGTGACCAAACCGTATACAATAACTCGTCTTCTTTTTGTATTCATCGGTATATCACTCTTTTTGTATTCATCGGTATATCACTGGATAGAAATTATTAAAAAGTAACAAATTTATTATTTGTTTTGCCTGGGTTTTATTTCAATACACTTAAAACTGTGAAAATATTGCAATTTTGGGACAATAAGTTCTCGACGTCATTCCAGCGTAAGAGGTTAAGATGTAAAACTATATGTAGTATTATAGATATTTGTTACATTATGAAAGATTAAATGACTAAATCGAGTCCGATTATTGCCGAGCTTATTCGAAATATAATACGTGTGGCACTTGATATATCCATGTTTTAATTCGTGTAGTTTTATGTATCAATTGTATATTAAAATACGTATTATATATTATAATATTACAGGTTATGCTTAACCTCAGACTTTCACAATATGGATTTGTAGCTTGCGATTTAGACTATTTTTCCTTTCATCTCTCGAATTATACATATATATATAATATCATTATAATTGATTATACATGCATTATAATTGGTCATAAGCTTTTTAAGTGTCAGAAATATTACAAATTTCTGCTATCAAATGTTAATTTATTTGTTAGTTTTTTTTTAAATATCAAGACACAATCGCAAGATTAAACCTTGTTAATCAAAATTTAAAAATTTTTATTATTACCTACAATTTAGGATCATACGTTCGTTTTAGAAATTACGTACGTGAATGAATTCATAGTATCTTTTTATACATTACGCAAAATAAAACCTGAATATATTAATACATCTGTAAATACGTATGTTAAAAATTACACGAATTAAAACGTGGACATATTCATTACATAATTACTACACGTTTAAATTATAATCTCCAATTGGGCCAAGCTCAATTGCAGAAAGCTCCTCAATGATCTGAAATCAAGCATAAATTAAATTCGAAGATTTTAATTAAAAAAAAAAAGAAATTATTTAGTAGTAATATAGACAACAGAATGTAGTATAACTAATAGACAAGTCTAGAATGGAACTGTGATTTTGACAGTTATTCAATAATTTGTTGCAAAATATAGATTATAAAATTATGAGATCCATATCGTGTCTAATTAGTTTTTTTTGTCATTTCGAAAATATATATGTAGATTTCTGTATAACTTGACCCAATTCGAGGTCGGACAGGTCCGCTTGCGCTTATATTCTGAACCCCATATCCCCCTGTATATCAATGATTACATTTACCTCCTCTAGAAGCCTTGTAACTGCTTCTATATCATTATAAGTCTTGGTCATTTGGCTCACCCGGTTGCTACATAAAACTGAAATGAAAAAAAAAATCGATTTTGTAATGCTTGCCAGTAGAAATAGTATTCAAGAGCAAATGACTAGAAAATATATTACAAACTACATATATATATATATATATATGTAGTGTCATTATTAAACAAAGAAGCAATAAACCAATGGGATAAAATAATTTTACAAGCAATGCAAGTAAAAAAGATAATAATAAAAAATTAATGTATAAAATTCTATGAATATTAGATGTATCTATGATGATACATTTAGTTTAAAATTAAACCTGCTAAACTTGTACCAAAGTGTTATTTACCAAATTTTCCTCATTTACAAATTAATAAAAAATCTGTTATATGAATTGGTACTTCATTAAAAAAGTAGCAAACACTGCTGCTTAAAATGCCATGTAACTAACATTAAGTTTAATTACATTACAGAAAATATTTATTAAAATCTAGACAGATGTTTGAGTGTGTGTATATATATATATTCAATCAGTTTTTAGTATCATTAAATGAAAAAGGATTTTGGATTGAGTTAAACGAGAGAAGCATATGATTTTCTTCAATTTATAACTCTTAGACATCTTTACTTTCACGTTAATACCTGGAGAAGAAATTATTTCATCGAATCAAATTTTCTTCGCCATTCCTAGGATTTCTGAAAGATTTTCCTTCGATTTGTGAAACTAACTCTGATGGATTAAAGTATGTATATTATTTGAATGAAAAATATCTAAAAATATATATATCTTAAGATATTTTGTTCACATTTTCGTCTGACAAGATTATATCATTTTATCGAAAACAAATAGGTTGATTTAAGAAGATTTGCAAAGAAAAAAATGAGTTCACAAGAATAACGACAAGAAACAAAAATTTCAATAATATTCGATAATGAAAATAAAAGTCTACATACAAAAGTATTCGGCAATTATATTTAAAAATGTAATAAAATGATGTCATTTGTGTAAGAATTTGTTAATATAAATACATATAATAATACATCTATGGTTTAAAATTATGGCTTTTTAGAAATATTCAAAGAGAATAGCAAAAATAATTGAAAAATTATTCAATACCCTTCAAACATCTTAATTTTACATACATTAACATTCCTTAATGATAATATTAATTCTTTTTTAAATTTAATTTTATTTTTCAAGTTTTAATTTTTATTTTTTTTATTTTTAAGGATAATTACCAATTCCAGATTACATAAGAAAACAATATGATCATAACATTCTATTTCAAATTTTAACTTCTACAGAAGAGAGGTAATTGATATTAATAAAACTTGTTTCTAGATTACAGAATAAATTGATTATTAACAACATATAAAGGGTTCAAAGCCAATGTAAGTAATTGTTCATTGTAAGTTCAGTTGTAAGATCATTCAATTTAGTCATATAATATAATCAATACGATATTATAACCATAACTAAACTCTTGACATGAAAAATGTTTCTACGGCGTAATCATCATAGTGATCAGCTTCTGAGTTTTCCACATATTACATCATGTATATAAATTTTAAAAATTATCCCTCAATATTTTGTCCTAAAGTGACATAATTTTATTCTTTCTTTTTTTTTCTCTAATATTTAATATTTAATATTTCCTTTTATTTCTCTAATATTCACTGTACAGAGACAACAACATTTTTAAATTGTTTTAAAAAGTGATGTATCACATTATTTATATAATTAGTAACAGTTTAGGGACGCTAAACTTTTACATTACCAATTTGTAATGATAAAACTGATATGGTTAACAAGATATAACGTGTTCAAGAGGATATTATTACATTGCACTTTATACGGCTTCTTAAGTATCCTAATGGTATAATATTACAAATATATTATGATGTACTATTTTACGGTATATAAGATTCAGTGACAACAAAAATAACGTCAACAGTAAATTAAACAATTCTCCGGGAAAGGTACAAATAAATGTCACAATGGTTATTTATTGAAGTATATAATCGTTACATATAATTTACAATTTTAGTATACGAAAACTTTTATAGTAAGCTCCTATTTGATTTAAATGAACAAAATAAATAACTACTATGTTAACGGTGTATACTAATGTAGTATTATATAATACTAACAATAAGTAGGTAAATAGATGAACTGATAGATGAACTATTTGTTGAATCAAAAACTTTAATGAATTACACATATGCAGAACTAAATTTTTAATGAAGGATTGAGATACATTTTTATTGTTATTTAACAAGAAAATAATATTTTCCCCTATTAAACAAAAATGTGTTCAACAAAACACAGAAATACATTTATTTTAATTTTTCAATTTAAGAAGACTCTTATAAAAATTAAACAATTAATTATAAGAAATAAATCAATGATGTTTGTCTTACGCTAGAGTGCTTGATTGAAAAAAGGCGTGCATAAATTTACATTCGTGTTTATGTCAGCGCATTGCTTGTGGTTTGAAAACTTGCGAAAAGGATAATGAGAAACGAAAGTCACATGGATATCTACAATATAACAACTACAATTAGAATTACGTTAATTGTAATTAAAAAATATACTTTTTCGTTACAAAACGCAGATTTGAAATGATAAATGTTTCATGCAAATGTGAATGAATTCTTTAATAATTTATGATGAACATAAACGTGAAAATTTTAATGGCCAATACAAAAAAAAAGTTAAATAAAAAATTGCAAAGTCTTTAAATAATATGAAATTGAAACGTAACAAATGCATTTCATAATAAATACGTATTTAAAAATTAAATAATTTAAAAAAAAAAACGTGTTCAAATGTAATATAAATATTATAATATCGTAATTCTAACGTAATATAAGCACAGGATGTTCTAACGTTTCATACGTTTCTAGTCGCATGTCACTGATATACCCATTCTTTTCGGGAATTTCGAATGATGCACTTAACCTCTTGCGCTGGAACGAATGCTACGCACGTCGAGAATTTTTTGTCCCAAAAATTGCAATATTTTCTCAGTTCTAAGTATATTGAAATATAACCTAGGCAAAACAAATAATAAATTTATTACTTCTCAATAATTTCTATCCAGTGATATCATTCTATTCGACGAGTTCAAAAAGAGCGACGAATGATTATATACGGTTTGGTCACTCGTTATGGTCCGCAATCAGTGGCCAGCGCAAGAGGTTAAGGCATGGCCAAGGATTCGCGTTATCTTCGAAAAATAAACTCAAGACTAAAGCCATGGTGTGGTAGCTTAGAACTCGAAATTTAATGCCCGTGAGAATCTCGATAATACATGCGTTATCGGCCAATTGGCATTCTTTGGGAGTTGACATAAAGTGTCAACTATTTTCCCCAACTTTGAAATTCTAAAAATTTCTGAAACCGATAGAAGCGAGGTTTCTTCAATTTTCTAGCAACTTAGAAGATGAAAATGTCCTATTGTGTCTGATTTATGTCGTGTCCACATTACTGTTATCATAGTTTTTAGACCCTAATTAAATAATCTAATCTACCGTTTGTGTTAGGGCTCTGTTTGGATAACCATTTGATTCACGAAGAGCGGGTAGTCATCCGATATTATTGCTATTCGTTGCACACGATGATTGCTATGAGATTGTTACAGATGAACTATCGAAGAATTGCTATACAGAAAGAAATATCATAGCTTTGCTTTATATCTCTTTGTATTTTGGTCGCAGAAAAAAAAGAAGAAGCATAAATGACTGACTATAGTGAGTTTTGCCCTTTATAAATAAAGGTTCGTAGATACAAAACAAAAAATGATCTATAAATTGAATTCAATTTTAACTTTATACTATCGTAAAAATATTGTGCATATTTGTTCGTAAGTTTTATTCTTAAAAAGGAATATTCAATGTTATATTTTGTTGCCTATTTGACATATTAACTATTAATTATGTTCTGTTACATTATTACAAAAATCACGGTGCACGGTGTTAGAACAAAGCATCTTACATAAGTATAAAATGTATCAAAATATACATACTGGATGCAATCAAGTTTGTGATGTAAACGAGAACAGAATAGTGCAAATTAGAATATAAAGTTTCTCATATGAAGTTTCGCTTTTAAATAAAAAAATAAGGTATATATAATACAAATGAATAAACTTCTACTTATATTTACAGACTCTACGACTTCACCATAATATGACTCGGCATTTCAATTAGAAATACAAGATGAAATTGAAGAATATGAAGTTTCCAATCTTTGAAGGTTGAATTTGAAGGTTCCAACTATACGTCCGTTCATTGATTATTCATGTGTGATTCGGCGTTTAAATGTGCAAAGTTAGAACAAGCGATGAAAGAACTGTAGTATAACGATTATAAAAACTTTCTGGATTTATCAAGTGTACAAATTAGTTCGTGGCACTTTTTTTATACATTCACCATTTATTTGCAGAAAATATTATTTACTACTATTTTATTTATTTATTATACTATATTATTATATATGTATTAATATATATTATAATTATATAGTAAAACATATTATAGTATATAGTGTAATATAAATTACTATAATATAGTATAGTATACTATAGTAAAAACTTTACTTTATTATTATATTATAGTAATTATGTATTATACCACTAATTTATCAAACAATTTTCAAAACCAAGAAAGTTTCTTGAAGATGGCAGTTTTGAATTAAAAAATTTTCAATCATTTTGAGTGTCAATCGAAGAAATCGTAATTCAAATAATTTATCTCTATGCATATTAAAAAAAAAAACTTCAACTACGTTAAAACTGAAGACATAGTTTATATTCTGAACGTGTATAGAGTCAATGCTTGCTTATTAAACTGAAAGTCTTTTTTTCTAATAATCTATTTTCTAATATCAACAATATAATAATTTGATCAGATATAAATGTATAAACTATTTGTATCCTGACAAGTTCATATAAACAGAGTTCCACTGTACATTCTTTTTAAAAATTGTTTTCATAATTATTTAATTAATTCTAGACTGTACAATGCACTAATAAACTATCTAATATTCTAATAA